CGCCAAAGTTCTCGATATCTTTCTGTAAGGCCACCTTCATATATTCTGTCTCATCCCACACATTTGCACAACCGATCTCTTTGCTATATAACCGATAGCATTCTTTGTAGAAGCCTCGCCAACCACGTGACTGCTAACCTGCTCACTTGGGTAACCCACCTATAGAAGGCTCTCCCTGGCACCTTCCAACACTGCCGCACAGGGTACAATCACCACGACATCAATGACCCTTCCTGAGTCTGAGCTCACTCTCCAGCTGCACAGGTCCATTTACCCCTCGTGGACATCATTTAAATGTGCGGCAACATCCTTCTAATTTAAATTCATGCTGCATCCTTCTTCAGTTAAGCGGCTCCTTTTCGTTATATTAAATCTCCTGCCGCACCGGAATTCCTACTTCAAATTAGATCCGTAGACCCCAATAGCCAAGCACCGCTATTCTCAAATCGCTCTAGACTTTCCTTAAGGTACGTGGTCATCCCACTACAAAACCCATATATAACTCCGCCACTCTCCCACTTTGGCGGAACTCATTCCCTTAATCAACCACTCGACCTTCGCTTCATATATCAGGCCTTTTAGAAGTTTAAACTCCGCCAGACACTTCCCACATGTCTTTCTCATCCTCTTCCGCTCAGTTGTTGCCTTAATAAAATTTATCTTCATAGCACTCGAATCCACAAATTGCTACTAACTTTAAACTTTTCTGAAGGTCACCTTTCTCGAACCGACAACATTTGAAATACTGATTCAATCCTAAACCACCGCATCCTGCGATATCTGATAGTTGTATCTCTGATACTATTTCACAGCATCTTGCCCCAAGGGCGAATTGTAGAAGATCATAACACCGATAAACTTAATACGTTCATTTAAGGTAGCAGCAGCCCAACATAGAAGAAAACTCCACCACGCTTGCAATTACCAAGTCTCATTACTTCCACCAGTTCGCATCTGACCATCCTTAGTTCGATCGCCTTTCCCCCTGCCGGGAATAAAATACTGAATCTCTTGATCATGCACTAGGTAAGCATCTCTTGAAGTCATTCACTGCCCCGACACGTGGGCAACATCCTACCATCACATCACTATTGCAGAATAGTCATTCATAAGCATCGCGGCAACTTGTGCCTAGCCTCAAAGCCCTAAAAAAAATACCGCTACTGGGCTGAAACAATAAAATATTCTTCCATAAGGCGACGACAATAATCCGATCAGCTATACCGGGAGAAACATCCCGTATCACATCTGTAGTACCATTACGGTTCTTCAATTTTCGATTTATGACAAGCGGTTCGCGTCGCGTAAGATTGAGTAGGAAAGAAACAAAGGCATAAGCCTTTCATGAAATCAAATCGCACGATAGGGAATCAAGAAGGGAAGTACTCCTAACAATCCTGCAGCTTTCCGAGGATAAGTACAGACGTCTCCATACCGATCTACGAGACTCTACCAGACTTGCTCATGACTCGTGAGACCCTAGGAACCTAGTGCTCTGATACTATGTTGTCACGACCCAAAATCCACTACGGATCGTGATGGCGTCGGACAGCGCTGTCAGGCAAGCCAACTAAATTATCAATTAAATTCTCTTTTTAATACTCTGAAAATCTAGGAGTTTTCCTTCCTTTTTTTTCATAATTAAAACAATCTCTACTTCAATTCAAATTAAGTAATAGACAGTTTGTACAAATCTTTCGAAACCATCCCAGAACCCGGTGTCACAAGTGCATGAGCATCTACTGATAAGGAAATAAAATATGATATCCATCCGAAATACAGTGGACAGGAAATAAATACAATATGCTGAAAGGGACTACACTAGCTGCGGGTCGCCTCGAATAATGCAGCTCACCTAGTCCCCGAATCATCCGCGCTACTACGCCCAGTAGGCCGCTAGGGTCACAAATACCTGTGCAACAAAAATGCACAGAAGTGTAGTATGAGTACGTAATCAACGTGTACTCAATGAGTATCCCGTCTAATCTCGAAGAAGTAGAGACGAGATGGTCAACTTCGACACTTACTAGAGGTCAATTAACAATATACTAAAATGCGAGAAAATCATGGAATTATAAAGTAGTTCTACTCACGAAGCCCGGAGACAGGCAAACACCTCTAACAAATAATAATTTTCAAGGTTTACTTTTCTTTCTCTTATATATATCAAGCCATGAAAGGCATTATCAACATTTAAGGATTCTCATGCAACAATATATACATATCATGCGCAAATCACACCGAGGCGACGGCCCGATCTAACAGAAATAAACTGTGCACTTTTCGAGGGTCGACGGCGCGCCTATAGATGCATCTATTACCCCGCTCGCGAAATAATCTGCGACGCGGTCAACATAAAATAAACACATACCCTGATCGCGAATCATGCATGCGACGTAGGTACACATAGAGATACATGCTCAATCAATCAAGTAAGAACTTATCAGAGAATATTTATCAAGACAAAACAAATTCTCCTTTAACAAATTTTAAGAAGTGAAGTTTAATCCCTTTAGGAATTCATTTACTAATTCAAGGTGATTTAAGCAATTCAAGCTATCATTGGGTTTACAATTAATTCAAGTATAACATGCTTTTGGGTCCTAGCTACCCGGACAATAGCATAATAGTAGCTACGCACGGACTCTCGTCACCTCGTGCGTACGTAGCCCCCGCAATTAGGAGCACATAATCAATTATTTTACCTATGGGGACAATTCCCTCTTACAAGGTTAGAAAGGAGACTCACCTCGCTCCGAAGATCCATAACTGGCATTCCACGTGCTTCCGAAGACTCTAATTGATGCACCACGCTCCAAAACTTGCCAATGTTATGCAAATCCATTAATATATGCTCAATTGTTCATTACAATCTAATTTATAGCAATTCCTAACTCCGATCGAAAAGTTGACCAAAACGCCCTCGGGCCCACGTGCTCGGAATCCGAAATTTTTCCAAGTTAAAGATTACCCATAACCTCAGGAACTCAAATATATAATTTTTCTCTAAATTTCATACCCAAAATCGTGGCTAAATTCCAAGAATATGATTTTTTTTTCTAGGTTTTCCACCAAAACCTAAATTTTCTATAATTTTCCAAGTCTAAATCCATATACAACCCTTGTATTTAACCCAAAGCTAGCATAAATTACTTACCTCATGACAAGTGATAAAAATGGCACCTCAAAGTTGCTCCCCATCGGCTCCAATGGAAGAAAAATGGGGTTGAAATGAACTCAACCCCTAACTTAAAAGATCACACTGCCTCAGCTGTTTCCGCACCTGCGGTTCCTGGACCGCTTCTGCGGTTCCGCAGGTGCGGTTAAAATGCCGCATCTGCGGTCTTCCCTGAGCCACCCCTTTCTCGCTTCTGCGACGCGCCTCCCGCAGATGCGGTCTTGCTTCGGCGGAACTTTGACCACATCTGCGGTCCTCTCCAAATTACCCTCCTCCGCATCTGCGACCAGTTCTCCGCAGATGCGGTCCCGCTTCTGCGGAACCTTGACCGCATCTGCGGTCCTCAAGCCCTTGACCAAAATCCGCACCTGCGGCCCCTTTTCCGCAGGTGCGGTTATGACAGCAACCAGCAGTCCTCAACCTTCCAAAATCCCATTTTCGATCCGTTTACCACCCGGAATTCACCCGAGGCCCCCGGGACCTCAACCAAACCTACCAACCAATCCCAAAACACGTTACGAACTTGCTCGAAGCCTCAAATCATATCAAACAACGCTAAAATCACGAATCAACCCCCAATCCAAACTTAATGAACTTTAGAATTTCAAACTTCTATTTCCGATGTTTAAACCTATCAAATCACGTCCGATTGACCTTAAATTTTGCGCACACGTCATATTTGACATTATGGACCTACTCCAACTTTCGAAACCAGATTCCGACCCCGATATCAAAAAGTCCACTTCCGGTCAAACTTCTCAAAAACCTTCAAATTTCTATCTTTAGCCAAATGGCTCCCAAATGACCTACGGACCTCCGAATTCACTTCCGATTGCGCCCCCAACTCCAGAATCACCATACGGAGCTATTCATAGTCTCGGAATCCCAAACGGACATCGATAACACTGAAATGCACTTCAAGCCAAACTTATGAAATTTCTGCTAATGCTAACTTCCTCAATAGGCGCCAAAACGCTCCCGGATTATTCAAAATCCGAACCGGGCATTCGCCCAAGTCCGAAATCATCCTACGAACCCGCTGGAACCTTCAGATTCTGATTCCGAGGTCATTTGCTCAAAATTCCCATCCTAGTTCATTGTTTCAACTTTTGGCTCCTGGAATAAGAATTCTATTCCCAAATCAACTCCGGATTTCCCGAAACTCAATTCCGACCGCGCGTACAAGTCGTAATACCTAAATTGATGCTGCTCAGGGCCTCAGACTACTGAAGACGCGCTAGGGCTCAAAACGACTGGTCGAGTCGTTACACTTTGGGTGACACGATGTATAGAACTTAAACTTATTGTGATTTGCCAGTTAAGATATTTAATACCCATTGATTTGACCTAAATAAAGTTTGAACGACCTGGGTCATGACTCGCAAGTCAATCTCGACCAATCCGCCCATTTGACACCTATTGACCTTTTAAACAACTTATACCGTGGAAAAAAAATAAAGGGGTACACGCATAAAATTATTAGTGACCCTTAATTGTGCTATTGTTCCAAAACAATTATTTTTCTTGTTGAGTTATTTACAAAACAAAAATTGAGCGTTTGAGCTAAAGTTTAGTGAGATTCCACTAACATACCCTTGATTTTTCTATAGATGGGAGAAAAGGGAGAAAGAAACAGTAGATGAGTGAAAACAGGAGGAACTTTTATTAATTTTCCATTAAACAAAAGAAAAAAAGAATTAATTTTATCAATTAAGTAAAAATTAAAAAAAATTTGTAACCACAGAAATACCATAAGAACATGATAACCTCACAATAATAACTGAAAATGCAAAATATAAACCATTCTCCCAATAACAAATTTCATCACTTTCCTCTGAAAAAAGAAAAAACAGGAACTTTTCTTGTAGATTTTATTAACTTTTATCATTTGCAACCTACAGCAATAAAGAAGAAAAAAAGAAGAAATAAAAATGACAAAATCAGGTGCAATTATTCTAATTGCCAGTGCTATTTGTTTGTTTTCCCTTATTGGGATAACTCAGGCGCAGGCTCAGGCTCCGGCTCCGGCTCAAGCTCGGGTTCAGTTCCACGTGGAAGGAAAAGTTTATTGTGATTTTTGCCGAGCTCTATTCGAAAACAGGCTCAGCAAACCCATGGAAGGTATATTTTATTTTCTTTCTTCCATTTTATATGTAAATATTTTTTTAAAAGTTATAAAAATGAAAATAATAAAGTCTAAGAGAGTGATATTTTATTCTTCATTCTTATTTTTTTTTTTGTGCAACTTAGATATTTTTTAATGTTGAGCTTATTTATTCTACATCTAAAAAAAAAGTCCGAAAATTTTCGAACCAGGAGAAAGAGCAGTAATGAAAGCAATAATAAATACATAAGTTACGTACCGTCCGTACGGTATAGATTATTAACCAATCATTGATATAAAGAGGGTTTTCAGTGCTGATTATTGCAAGCATGATAAAATCTTGATTTATTTAATCGCCAGGGCTCCAGGCACATCGGTTTTATATGATTAAATATCAAAATTATATAATATATTGAGTAAATTACAATTTGGCGATCACCTAGTATCACAATTTGAGCTTGATTTAATGATATATAGATCTAAATAATCCTCAAATATCTTAAGGATTCACCTTTTCTATTGTAATTTGGTCAGTACATGTGTTTCGTGCGGATTATAGATATATATGTGGTATAAGTATTTACGTGCATGCATGCAGGTGCGGAGGTGCGGTTGCAATGCAGAAACAGCACAGACGACAGTGTTACCCTGACGGTTGAGGGCCAAACCGACAAGAATGGCGTCTACAGCCTCCTCGTGGAACGCGACCACGAGGACGAAATCTGCGAGATGATACTAATGAAGAGTAGCATGGAAGATTGTTCTGAGATACCAAGTGAAGGCCATGCAAAAGAATCTGCAAGAATTACTATCACTAGCAACAATGGCATGGCTGAGACGACTCGTCACGCTAACCCTTTATTTTTTGTGAAGAAACAAGCTGCCCCTGAGTGTGCTGAAGTCTTTAAAGAACTTGAATTGTTGCCTGAAGAAATTGATCAAGCTTAATTTTACTGATTAATTAACAATTTCCCCATGTTAATTAATTTTTTTTATGTAATTGTTAGTATTACATAAATTATTTTTTCTAGGACTTGCATATATGCAAGTTCTAAGAGAAGATTTTAGTATACGTTGTTTTAGTGTCAATTTGGTTTCGGAGTTATATGCCTGACATTGTAGATTGAGAGCTTTAATTTGTAGAGATCTCAATTTATGTAATACAAAAGCAAACGAAATAATAAAATTTTGTATGTTAAATTCCTTCTTAAATGTTGTAATATTAGTTTTTACACAAAATACATTGGACTGGTTTATGTTGCTGCATCATTCATTTTGAATGATATAATTATTTCTACTACATCTTAAGCTTGCGATCCACATGATTGATTAGGATATAATCGGTGGATATTTTGAATAATTTATAAATAGATTAATTATTTTCTATTTTGGTATCAGATAATAATGGTTTTGACTAAATAAATGTTTTAACAAAAAGATTAACGTTTATGAAAAATAAGAAACATTCATTATTTTTTTAAAAAAAATTCTCTTTACGACTTCAATTAGTAAAATATTAATTAAGTGAGACGTTTACTAGAGATAAAAGGATTCTAGATAAATATTCTAATGATTGACACTATTAAATATCTTTCTTAAATTTTCTTTCTTTCAATTCTCCTCGCCAGCAGCCTTCTCAGTCAGAGCTCGTTGCACAGGGTTTGCCTAGTGCGATTTACATCTCCTGTATATTTTGCGAGCTATTGCACAGTGAACAGGTTACCCAGTGCACGCCCAAAGGGTAGCGGATGCGAGTTTGCCGGGAATTTTCCAAAAAAAAAAAAAGAAATATCTTTCTTAAGAGACGTGGAAAACCTTGAAATACGAATAATAGGGTTTCTGTGAGAGGGCGGGGTGTTTGAAGGCGGCGCGCGGCTGAAGAGAAGTGGGGATTAGGGTTTGGGGTCGGGTGATATAAGGAAAGGGGGAAAGGTGTTGTGAGCCGCGATCAACGGCCGGGATTTGAGAAGGTTTAGGGTCGATTTTGGACTAGGTTGGGTCGCTTAGGATTAGGCTGGGGTTATTGGGCCAAGGTCAGGGTAGTTTAGGTCCGAAATTAAGGTGAATTTGGGGTCAGATTTTAAATACCCAATATTTTAATAAATAAATAATTTGTAGAAGTAATTAATAAATATCAAAAATATCATTTGTGCACTAAAATGATTAAAATGTTTACTTAACATTATAAAAATATAAAAAGTCATTTTTTGCATAAATATTGTAATTATACATTAATATGAGCTATTATTGCAAAGATGTGCAATTTAGCCTTAAAAATGCAAATGTAATTATAAAAATGCACTGAAAAATATTTAAACATTATGTTGGTATAAATGATAGGTTTAGACGATTAGATCATCATAAAAATAGTTTGGAGGATAATTATTGGATAATTATATATAATAAAATGCAGGAATAAATTGATTTAAAGCCTTTAAAAATTATGAAAAATTATGAAAAATACTTGTGTGTGTTTATAAATCAAATGATGGTGTGTGTGTGTATATATATATATATATATATATATATATTATACGCACACACACACACATATTTGAAAATATGAGGGAAAAATTGGGTATCAACAGTCACAAGGCAGTAAACAAGAAAGGTATCTCGTTGAGAGAAGGTGGAGAAAGATCCAGTACAAGGAAGCAGAGTAGTTGCAACAATGTGGGCTAGAACACGGGTTTTAATACTAACATCACTTGGTCCTAACTGGTTTGGGAGGGGTTCAGATGGACACTCAGCAATACAACGTTTCGCTTGATCAAAGGAGATTTCGAAGTCATCAGGCCAAGAATTTTTGAAAAGCATGGGAAAACTAGAACACTTACACTGAAAAATTGAGCCGAACATGGCACAATCAAGAACAATGCGCTTACCTAACACTAAGGATTCCAACTTGTCAAACTTGCTGGAGCGAAGATCAGCATAAAACATTCTCACCAAGGGTTCATAGACTTTAGCAGGGGGAACAGAGAGGAATTTTGACCATCCTTGAAAAACAAATAGATTCTTTACCTTGCAGTTTAGGGCTTCCATGTCATCAAGGTCGACTACTCTGCCATGATCGATTGGCTTGTCTTTTAGAGCAATGAAAAAAATCCCTGTTTGGAGTATCCCAAAAATTGAGGTTAGACTCTAAGGAACTTGAAGATCTATTTTGGATTTCTTTGGTGTAAAGGTTTCATAAGGGTCTTCCAAGGGCCTTTTTCCTAGGGCTTTTTCTCCTAGATGATGAGAGTGTTCTGAATGTTCTGCCTGAGAAGAGGCAAAACCTTTTGAGTGATCAGACCCTAGGTCTACTTGTTTAGGAGGCTGGGAGGAAGGTTTTCCTCTGGAACGAGTACATTTTCTAGTGGAGGTAGAGGGATTTTTGGAGTGTTTAGCTATGGAGTAAGCTATTGGAATAGAGAGATTGAAGGGTTTCTGAAAGGGTTTCTAAGCGATAGGAACGATGGGGATTGAAAAAGGTGGTTTAGCGATTAAAAAGGAGATTTTGACGGTTGAGTACAAGAAAGGAAAGGGTGTCAGATGAACAGGCATGATGATTGATTTTTCTTTCTTGAAAGCTGCAACTAATGGGAAAAGAAAGGAAAAGAGAGGGAATTCGGAGGCCCTATATTAATGAATATGAAAAGACAAAATTAAAACATCAGGCATACAAGATTTAAAAATATCACATAGTTCCTACTATTAATGACTAAGGGAAATAATGCCAAGTAATTCTCTTAAAGAGCAAAATCTATCTTCAAATAAAGGCTTAGTGAAAATATCTCCTATTTGATCAGAAGTGCCAACAAAAGATAATTCTATATCTCCCTTAAGAACATGATCTCTAATAAAATGATGCTTTATGTCTATATGCTTAGCCGTAGAGTGATGCACATGATTCTTTGAAAGGCATATAGCACTAGAGTTATCACAGAAAATTTGAATTGGTGTAAAAAATAGATCATAATCACCCAATTGATGAGACATCCATAGTAATTGTGCACAACATTGTCCAATAGCGATATGTTCAGCCTCTGTTGTGGATAATGCAACTGATCCTTGTTTCTTACTGTTCCAAGATATCAGTGCTTTTCCAAGTAATTGACATGTTCCGCTGGTACTTTTTCTTCCTTCCTTATCACCTGCTAGATCAACATCTGAAAAGCCTTCTAGTTTAAAATTGTTAGAACGTGGATACCACAATCCATAAGAAACAGTTCCAATGAGATAACGAATAATTCTTTTTACAGCAGTTAGATGTGATTCTTTAGGAGCTGACTGAAACCTGGCACATTTACAAACACTAAACATAATATCTGGTCGACTAGCAGTTAGATAAAGAAGAGAACCAATCATTCCATGATATTTAGTTTCATCAACAGGATTTCCTTGTTCATCTTTGTCAAGACTCGTTGAAGGGCTCATTAGTGTGCCAATGGCTTTAGCACTACTCATACCGAACTTCTGAATTAACTTCTTTGTGTATTTTGACTGACATATAAAAGTTCCTTCTTCAGATTGTTGGATTTGAAGTCCAAGAAAGAACATTAGCTCTCCCATCATACTCGTTTCAAACTCGCTGTGCATAAGATTTGCAAATTCCTTGCATAGAAGAGGGTTAGTACTACCAAAAATAATATCATCAACGTAAACTTGAATAATAAGATTACCTTCCGATGATCTCTTAATGAAAAGGGTAGTGTTTACTTTACATCTTGTAAACCCGTGATCAATGAGAAATGAACTAAGTCTTTCGTACATGCTCGTGGAGCTTGTTTAAGTCCATACAATGCTTTGGTCAATTTATACACATGGTAGGGTAACTTTGAATCTTCAAATCTAGGAGGTTGTTTTACATATACTTCCTCCTTAATGAAACCATTCAAGAAGGCACTTTTGACATCCATCTGGAAGAGCCTGAATCTTTTAAAGAATGCGTATGCAAAAAGAATTCGTATTGATTCCAGTCGAGCTACTGGGGCAAAGGTTTCGTCGTAGTGGACTCTTTCCTGCTGTGAGTATCCTTGAGCTACTAATCTGGCTTTGTTTCTCACAACCTTTCCATCCTCATTGACCTTATTTCTGAAAACCCATTTTCTTCCAGTTACAATAACATTTGCAGGTTTAGGCAATAGTTTCCACACTTGATTTTTGTCAAATTGATTCAGTTCTTCCTGCATTGCTTGTAACCAACTTGAGTCTTTTAGAGTCTCCTATATTTTCTTTTGTTCAATATGGGAAATCAGTGCTATATTTGCTTTCTTCTTAAGGGCTCCCCTGGTTTTCATTCATTCGCTTGGATCTCCTATGATAAACTTTTGAGGATATTTAAGTTCACTTCTACATTCATTTGGACGAGTAACACTTGTACGAGAAGTTGACTCCTTTTGTGATTCCGATTGACTGTTGCTATTCTCATTAGTTGACTCCATGACACCGTCAGGTTTGTTAGTCGACTCTTGAGATTTGCTTGACTTCGGAATTTCTTGAGTTTGATCTTTATCACCTGCAATAATTCCTTTCTCGGTCGTAGTGTTATTTTCATCAAAAATAACATGTAATGATTTTTCCACACATAGTGTGTGTTTGTTATAAACTCTAAAAGCTCTACTATTTAAGGAATAACGCAGAAAAATTACCTTCATCACTTCTTAGATCAAATTTTTCAAGATTGTCCTTACAATTATTGTGGATGAAACACTTGCTCCCAAACGGATGGAAGTAACTTATATTGGGTCATTTACCTTTCCGTAGTTCATATGGAGTCTTCTTCAGGATAGGTCTTATGAGGCATCAATTGAGAATATGACAAGCTGTACTTACTCCTTCTGCTCAGAAGTGATTTGGCAACGAGTATTCCAGTATGATAGTTCTCGCCATATCTTGCAGAGTCCTATTTTTTCCCTCAACTACTCCATTCTGTTGAGGTGATCTTGGAGCTAGGGGCGGATTTACATGGACCCAAGCGGTGTCACGGGACACCGCTTTGTCGAATTTTTTTACTATTTATATATATAAAAATAATAAGTAAAACAGAAATACAAGATAAAACCATTAAAAGTGACACCACTTGCAACAAAACAACTCAATAGTTTAGTGGTGGACAACTTCAAATTTGATATGAGAGGTCTTTCGTTTGAACTCCCTTGGCTCCATAAAATAGTTTTTGACTGTTACGGGCCTCTTACTAAAAATAGTGACACCGCTTATGAAAA